GTTTATCACTTTGCGTCATTACCAACATGGCTGTTTTGTTGTCATATATTTTCTTTAATTGAATTAGATTTTTAGGGAGGAAAGACTGGGAAGATGTGATTAGATTAGTTTAATTAAAGTAATTAAACAAAACCCATGGAATAGTCTTGTGCTCGATTTCGGTTTTCCTTGTATGAAGTTTTTTAGGTTTGTTCATCTTTAGGAATGCATTAGATGAAAAAAAAAACATAGAAACGAGAGCAAAGGAAAGTTGCAGAAAAAAAGAAAGAAAAGAATGCAGAAACGAAAAAAAAGGGCAAAACAAAAAAAAAAAAAAGAAAAAGAAACAAAAGAAACAGGAACGAGGAAAAAGGTAGATGATGATGAACAATATTTGTTTAATTTTTTTGACTTTTTTTTTTTGGTAGTTATTATTGATAAATAAAAAAAGAAGAAACAAAATAAATGAAAAGGGAACGGAAAAACACAATAATGGGGTTTTGGAGTTTTTGTTTTTTTGTTGTTATTTTATTTTATTTTATTTTATGTTATTGGGTAATTATTATTATTATTTTGATATGTAAAATTGAAAAGTCCTCAAAATTAAAGTATGTGGTAACCATATTATTTGGAAGTTGTGGGGTGCCTAACACCTTCCCCATGCTTAACCGACCCTCCGAACCTAATCAATTTCTATGTAGACCTTGGTGATCTATCCCACCTCATTTAGATAGATGGCGACTCCATCCATTTTAGCACCTCAACATCATGTATTAAAATTTAATAAAAATAAATTTCTAAATTTCAAATTGGATTTTAATTAATGAAATAATGTTGGGACTCTAACTTTCTTTTTTTTTTAAGTCAAAACTAACATGACTATTCTCTATTATTAAATTTAGATATAAAAATTTATTCTAAAAATTCAAATTTATTAAATTTAATTTATATAGTATTAATTACTGAATATATAGAAAATAAAAACCAAAAACTAAAAACTATAACCATATTAAACGAAACCCAAATAATCATAACCCTTACACCTTAAATATTAAACCTTTAAGAATCTAAACCATAGCATTTCAAACAATGAATTTACAAAAAGCTAAATATTAATTTCCTTAAAAATTAAATTATAAAAAAATTCTAAACCCTAACCTTCTAAGTATTGAATTTTTAAAATTTTAAACCTTGAAAAATTTAAGGGGAATGATAGGTGTACCCAATGAACACACACATGGGCGGACACACCCATGGTTTAACCAAAAAAATAAACATATATTCTTGATAAGTCTTATCCATGGCTTGTTCAAAGCAAAAAGTCTGAAATCATTCCATCACATTGATAGTGTTAGAAATCAACCCTCCAATGAACCCTAGCCTTCAATCCTGATGAATGAAAGTCTTGACGATGACCTTGTAAGCAATTGAGTTGAGGTTGTAATCTTGATCAGTTTGATGTGACCTCACATGCTATGCTCGATTGAGTGGATGGTAGCTTCACACCAACTACAAAGGGAAATTGGGGAATCCCGTAACTCATTAGAATGTGTAAATGTGGATTATTTACAAGTTTAAGGTCAGATTGTTGGTTTGGGACCCCTACGATTTGTGGTAGTCATGCTTTTTTCAAGCCTCAATTTCTCATGGAAACCATATAACTACTTTTCAAAAGGAATTTCTATACTTACATAATACCGTGTGATAGATTTTTTGATGAAAAAGATTAAAGAATAAGAACTCAAATTATGAAAATATAGGTCTAGATCTATATTTACATGATATCATGTGATGGAATTTTGGATGCAAGAGATTAAAGAACAAGAAGTTAGATTATGAAAGTATAGGTTTACATTTTCATTTTTTTGACCTTTCCTTCTCTCATTTCGTCTTGTTGTGATTTTTCACACAAGTGTAGCTTAGATAAAAAGAGGAATTACAATTAATGCACGTTTTCTATAGAGTTAACATATTTGCACAATTTTCTTCCGAGTAGATTTTGTAATCTAAACATCAAATCTCAACTCTCAACCAACTATTGAAGACACCTACCACATTAAGAGCTCTTCTATCCATATGTTTGGAAACATGAATAGAGAATGACTAAAGGAATGCTAGTTGAGTAAGTTATTTCAGCCTCTTACTCCCAACTTACAAAAAAACTAATATTCTATTGAATGTGTCCCATTAGATGTTGAACCAGCAGGTGCTCGTATCATCGTCCAAAATATTTTAATTCATGGAATCAATTAATAATTAGGTTGTGTTTGAAATTACTTTTTCCCATGGTGCTTTTTCACATAGCACATCATTTTTTAAAGTAACTACCAATAATAATGTAATTTTTCTCATACTAAAATAATAGAAAAGCCACAACCATAACATTTCAAAACAATCCCAAACACAACTTTTGTCATACTCTCTATATTTCAAAATAATAATCATCTTTTAATTTCATCTTCAAATTAAGTATTTAAGAAAAATTTATATTTTACATATATTATCTTTGAAAAATTAAAAATAAAGTGAGACTTTTTTATACTCCCTCCATTTAGTTTTAGTAGATCTAGTTTTTTTCATCCAATAAAATAAAAATGTAATAATTTATTGATAAAATTTCATTTTT